GCCAAAACCGACCGCAATTAAAAAAAGGAAACACTTACTGATCGAAATCTCGCCAAAACCGATCGGTTTTCGAGAACTTGTCGGCAAACTCAGGGAATTTCTATTCAAATTTTGGTTTATGAAATTTGTTCGGAATTTACCGGTTTTCCACCGGATTTTGTGAAATTCCGAATTGCGCTAGTGTTCGAAACAGAAGGGATTGTCGGAATCGTAAACCCTGTGTGGAATAGCATGACTAACAACATTAACATGAGGCAAATAACAACTAGAATCAGTACTATTAGTCATGGGAGAAAATCCTGGAAGAGGTTCCGGGGCATCGGTCTGACCGGCTATAGATAGCCCGGTCTGACCGGCCAAGCACCCAATCTGAACGGGGGTCAGTGATGCAGCCAGACTGGCCACAGGAGGCATGATCTGGCCAAGATAAGGCACGGTCTGACCGGCATATGGTACGGTCTGACCGGGCGTCATGCACGGTCCGACCGTTGGCTAGGTTCTTTGTATAACCGATTCCTGTGGAATCGGCTGTGTGAACGCCCGTTGATCTATCCATTGTATTATAGGTACATTGTATATATGCAAAAGTAGAAGTAGCATTATATTGTTGATAACTGGCTATTTTAGAGCCAGTTTTCTTAATAGATTCATCAAATGTGGTTTTAAAAACATCTTCTAACATATCATGATTTTTATCAATATAAGCATTAATAGATGCATCTATACAACGTTCAACATGTTTTCGAATAACAAGAGATGGATCGAGCGGATTGGAGGTTACCTTATCAGGGACAAGTTTGAGAGGAGGACCAGGTTTGAGAACCACACCTTGATGCATGGGTCCTGATGAGCGATCTCGCCGGGATCTCCTCCATTATCGCCTTTATTCGCTTCTCCATGACTTGACGCTGCTCCTCATCAAGATCCTCCAATGTGATCTCATCGATCTCGTTCCTGCTCGTCATGGTTGATGAATAAATTCCTTGATTAATTTCGGCCATATATCTTATAGCCGAAACATTTGACCCAATAGATTAATATACAGTCTTAATTTCCTTGGTATGTTACTATGTGTATGTAGCAAAAATATCCACAAATCAAGAAATCAGTAGCCTTGGTCGGCCGATCTCTTGTGTATTGTGGGATGTGTACACCTAGCAAAGATATTTGATCTCTTGGTAAACAACTGAGTAAACCTAGCAAAAATTTGGAAACTAATCTAAAGCCTTACAGGACAGCCGATATAATTGAATCGGCTTTGATTGATTTTTTTTATTGGAAACCGATCTTGATTTCTTTTCTCGGGATATGTGCTAATACATGCGACACAGGATCGGTATTGCTCGCTGTCTATTGCTTGCTGGCCTTGATGTATGTGTGTACACAGAAAGCACAAAACTGAAGCACCGCATCCTTGATTTGCCACTGAACCTACATTGTTATAGATATATGAGGATCCGGACCCATATATTATAGACAGTAAGTAGCAAATAATTAATTGACACATCTTAAAATGACCCAAAGTTAAATGTTCCCCAGGCAAAAACTCGTCACTGCTGCTCGTCTTTGAATCGGCTTCGGACTGGTAACAGCCAAACGCCGAAACTTTGTGGCGAAGGCAAGGACGGCACTCGGCGTAGATTGAAGCAGAAACGATAGCAGTGGCCGAAGTATAGATTAATTCCAGCCGTATGGCCGAAAATCGAAACATTTGATTCGACGAAACTATATCTGAATATTTAAATAAAATTCGGTCGTAATATGGCCGAATAAATCGTTTCCCAGCGGAGTCATCAAAAATCATGTTAGCAACTTCTTTGGTAAGAAAACAATCACGATCGGGACATCTAAACGCCTTGCGGTAATATGGAGTTGTCAATCACCCCAATCTAGCCAAATGGTCAAATCAAGATGGATTTTGTAGAAAAACAGCTAAACCAGCTAGCGGAGCCGATTTAGATATCAAAACCAGCCTCTAGGCCGATTTAGATTGATATGAGGATAACTACCCGTCGCGTGGGTGAACGGAAGGTTTACGGGACAAACCTACAAAGAAATAATCGCACTCTCGCGGTGACGGCGAACGATTTACGATGAAAATAGATAAAGATGGACTAAAACTAAAATAAAGTAGAAAGCATGGCTAAAAAGTAAAAGAAATATGAAAAAGCGATTCAAGTAGGTTGTGTGTTGTTGGATAGATTACAATTGAACCGGCCTTGTCCCTTATATAGGGGTTGATCTTACCCTCTACATGCCCTTCTCCACGTCCAACTCAGACTAGAAACCAATAGAAACCCGAAACCTGCCTTCCCGAGCAAGGAAACCCGAGACCTGACGAAAACGGAGTTTGACTCGGACTCTGCCAGTCAGACCGACCACATGCCGCCTGTTTGACCGGCCCTCTGGCAGAGATCTGACCGGCCCACATATGGCGGTCAGACCGGCCCTCTCTGGAGGAAACCGGCAGAGCCCCAAACTTTAGCAATTTTTCCTATTTTAATTCTAGATGCTAAATTTAGGTGTAAACAACCTCACCAGATACCGTGGGGATAAAAACAAGGCAAAATTGTTTATATAGCATCGAAAGTTCACGTTTTTGAATTTATAGCACCGAAAGATACCGGTTCACTTTAATAGCACCCAAAGTTCACCCCGTTCCTATTTTTAACACTTCCGTCAATTCTCGATCGTTTTCCGTCCGTCTTGATCCTAGCCAGGCACACGATATGACGTTTCTACCCTCATTGATATGCATTCTACTTGTACTTGTGACGGGTAGAAACGTCATATCGTGTGCGTGGCTGGGATCAAGACAGACGGAAAACGATCGAGAATTGACGAAAGTATTAAAAATGAGAATGGGGTGAACTTTAGGTGCTATTAAAGTGAACCGATATCTTTCGATGCTATAAATACAAAAACGTGAACTTTCAATGCTATATAACCAATTTTTCATAAAAACAACGATAACTTTGCAGTGAACCTAGCTTATGCCTTCAATGACACAATCAACTCCTAGTCTCTTTTTGAATTGCCTTTTTCCGGACAGACTCTATACCTAGTCAAACAAAAGGGCGATTCCCGTGCTCGCCCTGCTTGATCGAGCTTTCATCAACTACTGGAATAATCTTGTAGCTTTCATCAACTACTGGAAAAATCTTGTCCAAAACCCCAATGTGAAATCACTCAGGCCTCATTTGACAGACCGGGATCCCGGCCCATATCCCGAGAAAAAGCCCGCTAGAAAATTTTCCTACGACCATATTTCCTGACCAGGGTGTGTTTAGTTTACGTTAAAAATAGAAGTTTAGTTGAAATTGGAATGATGTGATGAAAAACTTGAAAGTTTATGTGTGTAGAAATGTTTTGGTGTAATGAAAAGTTGAAAGTTTGAAAAAAAAGTTTGGAACTAAACTCGGCCTTAGGGTGTGACCGTGTTTAGTTTCCCCCTATTCCCAACTTTCCATCACATCATATCACATAAAATCTTTCCTACACACATAAACTTTCAACTTTTTTTCCAAACTCCCAACTTTCTTCAAACTTCAAACTTTTTTCAGGAACTGTGTTTAGTTCACACCAAAATTGGAAGTTTGGTTAAAATTGGAACGATGTGACGAAAAAGTTAGAAGTTTGTGTGTGTAGGAAAGTTTTGATGTGATGAAAAAGTCTGAAGTTTGAAGAAATATTTTGGTACTGAACACGGCCCAAGAATAAGTTCATCGAAGGTTCCTCAACTTAACAACGAGATTTTTCGAGGTCCCTTAACCACAAAATCAAAAATATATACCCCTAAACAAACTCACTGAAACCGTTCAAAAAGAGGTATTTTTATTTGGTTTTGCTGACGTGGCATCCTAGTCAGAAAAAATTACGTGGGACCCACATATTAGCTGCACAATTTTTTCCTTCTCTTTTCTTCTCCTTATCTTCCCTTTTCTCTCCTCTCTTCTCCGGCAGCGGGCGGAGAGCCAGGGGAGTGGATGGCGAAGGTGGAGCCGGGTGTGCTACTGGCGCTACCGCCGCGGCAGACGGAACAACTAACCGACCATCGCTGCTCCGCCTGCCTGCTACGCCCGTCGACCGCTCGCCGCCGCGCTCGCCCGCTCCCGCCCCCACCGATGGGAGCGAGGCGGCCGGCCTCGGCGGCGTGAGAGGGGCATAGGAGGGCCGAGAGAGGGGCGGAGGCGACGGCGGCGGTGCTGCCGAGTTCCTTTCCCTGTCACTGGTCGCTGACCGGTCGAGGGACAACATCGACGCCGTGTTCAACCCCCAATGGCGCCGTACAATTCTACTGCTTGCTATATAACTTAACGATTATAAAGCTTGAAGGATAAATTGAAGCTTCGCTTTTCTTGAGCTATGGTGTTTCTTTGCGTTTTCTTCTTTGCAGCGAGGTGACCAGGCGCTGTACAACGGGTTCGGGGCCGCCGGAATGCATGGTGACGCCGTCATGCAGCCGCCGACATTCGGGCAGGTACGCGGCCAAGAACTCCTGTGGGTTCAACTTATCCCCCGATTCATTCTGCTTCTTTACCAGCGTTGGAAACAACTGCCTGCCGCCGCGCTCGCCTACCCCCACCGCTCCTGCCTGCTTCGCCTGCCGCCGCCGCGCTTTCCCGCTGTCGCCCCGCCCGTCTCGGTCCGTCGAAGAAGACGACAGAAGAGAAGAAAATCTTAATTTTAATCTTAACTATTTAAAAGATTTGGATTTTTCCTTTCGTCACATCTTCACCCCGCGCGGTTTTTAGTCGGTAACCCCTTTTTTCGTCCGTAACCCTGTTTTTTTTTTCCGCGTTTTCCGTTTTTCCCACCGCAGCGTCCACAACAGCGATTTCTGCTATCCGATTTGTGATCGGATCTAATCTAATATGACGCTACTTTTCCCACCCCATCAAAAAAAAACACCGATTCCTACTCCAGCGCAAATCACGCAAAAAAAAAAATCCCATACCGATTCCTACTCCAGTCTAACAGATTAAGCCCACAAGCCCAAGTTTAAAAAGAAACAACACCGATTCTAATCCAGTTTGCGTGCACAGGTTCAGTATCCCCCACACCGATTCCTACTCCAATTTAATATTACATTACATTACAGGCAATATATAAGTATAAATAATAGAAGCAGACAAGAAAACATATATCACAAGGCTCTTCCTCTAAAACATCAAGCCAGCTTTCAATCAGGCAATAGAAATAATAGAAGCACACAAGAAAATATTAATCGCAAGGCTCTTCCTCTAGGACGTCAAGCAATCTCCAATCAATGTCGATTCCAGGTTATCAACCAACTCAATCCTGAATGCAATTTTAATTTCATAAGATAAGTCAGCTTATGAATTCGAACTAACAGTACCATCATAAAATAAAAGAGGTCAACCAGACATACATGAAGTTTTTATACAGAAATTAAAGAGGTCAACCAGACATACATGAGCCTTGTTTTCAGAAGAGAATGTTTAGCTGAGCCTTTCATATGCACAACCAATGCTATGTATGGTTTTTTTTCCCGTCGATGCAGAACAGTTAGCAAGTTAGCAACAGTCAATTTTTTCAAGTTAGCAACAGCCAATTTTTTCAGTTGTCCAGCGGCACATAGCAACACGGAAGTTCCAGACGGGTCCTTCAATTCAGACATTCACATGAATGCAGAACATAAATCATGCACACAACAAAATCATCACAAGAGCTTGCAATCAATTAGGCTACTCAAAATGATTGTTCAGATTAGACATATAATGTTTTGGTGTTTTCATACTACTATTACTTGACTAACTAAAATATACAGGATACAAGCTTAAGCTTGCAGTAAGTGGAAGTGCACAATATAAGAACCATGACAGTAATCTGATTCCTACAGAGATAACATATCAAAGACAGTAATATATTTGATATAGTACCAGTCATAAACCAATCAATCTATAACCAGCAATATTGCGCAGCGATTAGAGGTGGTGTGGGAATTGAACTTACCATATATCTTACCTATTGACCATATATTTTCTTCCTGGGCTCCTGGTGTACTGCCATACCCACCATCACCCCCATTGCTGCCCAAGTAACCACTAGCACCAGGCATCCCATTGCTACAAAAGCCTTTGGGTTTAGTGAACCTAGATTTGTGACCTGCAAAAAAAATTTTGGTGTCAGTTGGAAGATACAGAATTAGACAGTGTCAAATACTGCATGTGTCCTGAAACTGATGAAAATTACAGATGTGAATCTCATCTATGATTAGTTAAGATGTATTTGTCTCTATGTGCTGAAATGCCATTGTTTCCTATTTCAACAAAAAATATCACATGAAAGCATCGGCATTCAACCAATATAGAGTAACAGGACAAGTTTTTAATCAATATTGTTACACTACTCCACCTACCTTGGTTGATCCACTCAAACCAAACAAATCAAATAAACTAGGGTCTGATCTAATTATTCTGACAAAAAATAGTGAAAACTCAAATCAACTTAAGAAAACTCACCAGTTCAAGCACCTCTACTGCGGGGGGGTCAATTGTCACTGGATCCGGCGGCCACAGCAGCATCCTCGTTGGAAAATCCATAGAGGTCCACCTTCGTCCGACAACTTGAACCCTCCTATCCGGACGACCGAACAGCTCTGCTTGTACAACTCGACCTCCAGATTCGTCCACTGCACCATATCCTGAGACATCCAACAAAACAAATACCAATCAGACCAAATAGTGATCATGGGGGACATCACGAGACAAGAAAAACCCACCGGATCCGGCATCCACTACTCAATCGGCCTCCTCGTCTCCGACCGCTCCCTCCGCCTAAAGAACGAGACCGCCCCAATCCGCTCGGCACCGAACTGGACCATCGTGGCAGCTCGATCCTACGATGACGACTGCCACCCAACGGCGAAGGCCGATCCATCGCCAGTGAGCTCGGGGGAATTGGATCCGTGCCGGCGGACTCGGTGGGGGGACGAGGAAGGGGAGCTGAGGAGAGGGAGAGGCGCCGTCGGTGGGTGGTCGAGGAGGGGGATCGGCGGAGAAGGAGGGCGTCGCTGAGTGGCGGAGGAGAGGAGAGAAAACCGAGAGGAAAGAACGAAAGGAAGGAAGTAGCAGAAGGAGGAAGGCGATGGATCCATCGAGAGCATCTGAGCACGACGAGGAGAAACATGGAGAAAGTGACACTGCCGCCTACGGGAACCCGCCGCCCATCGAGGGCGCGGCCGCCGCCGCCGCCGCCGCTACCGCCTCCGCCGGGCAGGCGCCAGCGGCGAGAGCCCGTTGCCTCCCCTCCTGCCACATCTAGCGGAGGGGAGGGCGCGGCCGCCGCCACCTCCTCCGCTGGGCAGCCGCCGGCTACGGGAGCCCACTGCCTCGCCTCCCAACGCCGGATCCACCGCCCACCAGCCTCGTCGCCGCCCTCGAGCCTCCCCACCGTTGGATCCGCCGCTCACCAGCCTCACCGCCGCCAGCCAACGATGGAGATGAACATGGTGGCGGCTGGATCGACGCGAGGAAGCAGCAACCACGACTTGGGCCAGTGGTGGATCTGGCCGGCCCGTCGCCGTCGACGGCAGAACCGCAGGATCCAGGCGAGCACCACTGCCGGCCGCCTTGGTGAGTAGCGAGAGATTAAGAGAGAGTGAGAGATAGAACGGGAGAGAGAATGATAGAGTTAGAGAGTGAGAACTGCTTGGAGAGTAACGAGAGAGAGAGAGGGACACGACACTGTGACAGACAAAATGGGAGAGAGAACGAGAGAGTGAGGGAGTTATAGGATAAGGATGTCGACAGACCACACAAATTTATCTCCTCGCTAATCTTTCTTCTGTTTTTAATTATGTAATTATCTAAAATCAGAATAATATAGGTCTCGTTCCTTTCTCCAACAAGTCTTGGATGAAGATTAAAATTTCCATGACACGCTTTTTAAACTGCTAAACGGTACATTTCGTGCGAAAACTTTTTATATAAAAGTTGCTCTAAAATATCATATTAATCTATTTTTTAAGTTTGTTATAATTAAAACTCAATCAATCATACGTTAATATCACCTCATTTTGCGTAAAAAAACTTAATATTCAACTTCATCTTACCGAGAAAAGAAGATGATAAAAAAAGTATGAAAAACCGGAAAATAAAAAAACGAAGGAAGGCAAGAAAAAACAATTGTTTGATATAAAAATATAGATTGTGAAAAAAATTGTACAAAATCATCATATGTTACGTGGCCGGTCTCCACGCGAGTCCACATATGATTTTAGAAACTAAGACGCATGCTGGCAACGCGAGAGTCGACAAAGCGAGAAAGCACACGTGTCCACTACGAGGCTATAAATAAATACCCAAAAGTATTTTTTATCCATCCTGATTATCATCGGTATTACGATAAAAATGATAAAAATACCTATTTAAAATATATTTTTTTAATCACAACACCGGGTACATCTATAAGTTCAACTTCATCAACCGCGACATTACCGGTGCATCGCAGCATTTTCCTAGTAAGGCCTTGTTCAGTTACGCTTGGATTCAATCCGGGCCAGGAATGATAAGTATAGTAAGAAATTTATGATAGATACAATAAGAGACCAGGATTTATTTCGGGCCAGGAACCAATTTACTCATGATAGGGACAATAAGAGACCGGGATTAATTTCACACCTCTTGGCTAGTGGATTAATTGGTTTCCGGACCCGGAATAAATCCCGGTCTCTCATTGTATCTATCATAAATTTCTTACTATACCTGTCATTCCTAGCCCGGATTGAATCCAAGCGTAACCGAACAAGGCCTAAAGGAGAAAAGAGAAGAAAGGGAAAGAAAAAAGAAATGTGGGGCCCACATCTCTTTCTCTCACTGACATGTGGACCCCCACATATTTATTTTATTATTTTTGCTGATTAGGATGCCACGTCATCAAAACCAGCCATATATACTGCCTTGGGACCTAAATTAGACGGTTTTGTATAGTTTAGGGGTGAAGATTTCTGGTTTTGCGGTTAACGGATCATAAAAAATCTCGTTGTTAAATTGAGGGACCTCCGGTGAACTTATTCCTTCCTGAGCATTTGGAAGCCCACGAGACGGATTTCCCTGACCTAATCCACGTGATATACCCGGGGAAACCTCCCACGCCTCACGAGGTCGGGAAAAAAATCCTCGCTGCGGAGCCGCGTCACCTCTGCGGCTCGGCGCCTCTTCCTCTCGCGAGACTCACGACCGCGAAACAACACCTACTCGCGAGACGCCGGCGGCGGTCTCCTCTGACGAGACGCCACTGCAGGCCTCTCTCCTTCAGACCTGGGCCACGGCGACATACATATGTATATACTTCGTATATCTATATCTATATATACCTACTTAAAAAATACATAAGGTTTTCGGTGGTAATTTTCATCCGTCGTTTTCTTTCGCACGCGGTATTTTTTTTTCTCACACGTGGTTTTTTTTCTTGGTTTTTTTCGTCCGATTCTTCTTTTTTTAGGTCGTCCGATTGGTTTTTTTCACGTGCGGTTTTTCTGGCCCAGTTTTTTCGTCCGATTTTTTTTGCCTAGTTTTTTTTCCGATTGCTTTATTTTGTGGGCCCGGTTTTTTCCAAAACACTGTTTTTGACCGTGGGTCTCAAATTTTTTTGGTGGGCCCGGTTTTTTCCTACCTGTTATTTTTTTTTGAAGGATATCCCAAATAGAATCGTATAAAATTACATGGCTCAAGAATTACAACCCAGGAATTACATTCAGAATCCAAGAATAAAAATTACATGGAAGGTATGATACAAACATCTTCTCAACCTATATAAAGAAATTGAAAACACAAACAAGACTCATATATATACACCCGATATTTGGTGTGGATATTGAGCAATCTCTTGATTGACGCTACTCATATGCGCTCAATTTTTTTTTTAAAAAAAGAGCAATTTGCTGTTGGACGTGATTCTTTAACCCTTAACAATTAGATTTTTTTTTGCATAACTTTAGAAGCAATTATAATCAGGATATGAATAGCTTGTAATTTTTGTAAATTCTGTCATATTAAATGCATGTACCAGGAGAAGAAATACAACTTATTTATCATGCATAATTAAATCATTATATTAACAAGATGATATTGGCAGTAATTACCTGAATATTTTTTAAAAAAAATCCATGACATAATAGTGTGATAGAGACATAAATATATCCAATCTAACAGTCTTAATCAACCACTGACAATATTTAAAAACTGAAAGCATGCATAAACTTCACACAATATCCTTCAGTAGAGACATAAATATATTCAATCTAATGGTCTTATTCAACCACTGGCAATACTTAATACCCTTAATGCCTTGAGTTACAGTAGCTTGTTCTGCATATGCTACTGTAGGTGGTTATTCATCACATTCATATGCCAACATGGTTTAAAAAAATCAAAACAATAATATTGACTAAATATGCTACTTTAAAGGAAACCGGTTTCAGAGTTTATTATTTCTATTTCCCCTATCTTTCTCTGAACTCGGTGCGCAAAAGTATTACTTAATGCAGCAATAGAACACAAGTGAAATAAACACCTATGGTCCATGCAGAATCAACAGACAATAATATAGAGCTCTTAAAAATTCCAAAGCATTAAAGGGGGCATAGCAAATACAGTAGGTTCCAATTTAGCCATGCAACCAAACTTATTTTGAACAAAAAAAAATTCACCTGAATATTTTTTTGGCAACCATCTCGATTCCATAACTCCAACCCATCAAAGTCAACAAATCTCATCTTCTGTCTCCTTGAAAACCTGGCAACACACCTAAACAAATATAAAATATGGCAAGAAATACAACTTATTTATCATGATGACTTACCTTGCTGCATCCAGATCAAGATAAAGTTGTGCTGGGATTTTAACCATGATTGTGTGGTGACACTCAAAATCACAGCTAACTGAGTTTAGTTCAGAGCATGCAAGAACAACAAACAGGAATAGGGGACAGCAGGATGAACATTACATTTTTTTTGTTTTTTTTTGTGGGAACATTACATATTTGTTGGACTTGATATCGGAGTAGATCACTATGAAATCACCCTCCTACGGCTCATTTAAATGAACAAAATCACCTGAAAAACATAAGACATCAATCAACAATATAATTGAGAGTGACAATTTTAGTATGGCAGTTACTGGCTTATGACTAAATTTGAATGATTCAATTAGTTGGCCAAGCAATCATAATATCTCATTTTCCAATAATGGGAAACCAAGAACACGAGAACACCAGGAAAGCGAGATAGGAGGTCTCACCGGCAGATAGGAACTGGGACGCCGTTGTGGCCTGCGGGAAAGCGAGTGCGCCGTCCAACACCGGCAGCCCCACCTTGCCGCCTCCGGCTCCGCCTGCAAGAAAACCATCATCCAGCGATGAGTCAGCCACTCGACCAAGATCGTCGTAATGATTAACTAATAAGTTTACACCTAGGTCAGAAACCCCAACAAGCAAAGAACACACATCCATATTGCCGGGCCCCTACATACACATACACACACACAAATTTATGTCTAAACGTGTAACCAAATAACTCGGAAAATGTTAATGAACCAAGAACGCACCTGAAATCTTCAGTACCACCGCTCGGGCGCTCGGTACCACCACTCGACTGCGCTCTCCTCGGTGCACCTTCGTCCGCAAGCTTGAACCCTCCTCTCTGGCTGGCCGAATAGCTAGCAAAACTGACATGTTATCTAACCTGCCAGTAAGCAACAAGATTACTCCTATGCAAGATGATCCAAAGATTTCACATGAACAATATGATATATTGTCAAAGAAAATAAAGTACCTGGGCGAAAAGATTGCGATGGCGCCCAAACCACATGTGTCGCCATCGTCGAGGTCGTCGCCCCATCTGCCAGTCTGCCACCCCACCTCCGTCCCTCCCATCATCACCCGCGGCGGATCAGCACGAACGGAGGGTGGAGAGACGACGGAGGTCGCCGGATCGACCCACCCATCGCCGCGGACGGCAGATCCGCACAAGAGGGGAGCGGAGAGACGACGGGATCCATGCAGGAGGGGAAGAGGTCGCCGGATCCACCCCTCCCGTCGCCGCCGACAGCGGATCCGCGCGAGAGGCGCTAGCGGCGGAGGTGTACAAGCTGAGGAACCAAGAATCCACCTTAACGTTAGGGTGCAGATCGCACGAGTTGAGGCATGCCGACTACAGCGAGCTCATGAGGTTAGCCATCTACTCGCCGGCGTGACGGTGCCCCGGAACAAGACGACCACCTCGCAAAACCCGAGCCGCCGCGTCATCTCGTCGGGGGACATGGCGAAGTACCCGATCCACCGCCCCCCGGCAACTCGACGATGGCTCCATGGTTGATCTGGTGGGCAAAACTAGAGAAGGGGATGGAGAGAGACGGGGAAAGACTGAGAGATAGAACGAGAGTGAGAGACTGGGAGAGAGAGAACGAGAGTGACAGGATAAGGATCTCGCAGGGTTCACCATACCGCCGATAACCGCGCGGGTTCACCATACCGCCGATAACCGCGCGGTTACCGCGGTTACCAGACTTACCGCGGGGGTACGGTAATATAAATACCGCGGTAACCTCCTTAAATTCAAATAAATTTAAAAAATAATTTGAATTTTTGATAAATTTTGCACGGTTTTGTACGGTTTTTCACGGTTACCGCGGTTACCGCGCGGTAACCGTGCTTACCGCCGGGGTGCGGTAACCTTGACTCCGGCGGTTTAGGAAACCCTGAATCTCCCAGGCAGGGTTCACCATACCACCGGTAACCGCGCGGTTGCTGGGCTTACCGCGGGGGTATGGTGATATAAATACCGCGGTAACCTCCTTAAATTCAAATAAATTTAAAAAATAATTTAAATTTTTGATAAATTTTGCACGGTTTTGTACGGTTTTTCACGGTTACCGCGGTTACCGCGTGGTAACCTTGCTTACCGCCGGGGTGCGGTAACCCCGACCCCGGCGGTTTGGGAAACCCTGCTCCCAGGCGATCACTCATTTTTCTCGCGTCAATTTTTCTTTATTATTTTTAGAAAAATCTACGACCTTAGATTGGACTGGGTTGTAACTACATTTGCTGTGTGCTATCTCTGCACACGGAAAACGGAATGGTCCATTAACACGTGATTAATTAAGTATTAGCTATTTTTTTAAAAAAAATTAATCAATATGATTTTTTAAACAACTTTTGTATAGAAACTTTTTGCAAAAAAAAAACATGCCGTTTATCAGTTTAAAAGGCGTGCGCGCGAAATATGAGGGTGATTGATTGAGAAAGTTGGGGAAAGAACTCAGAATCAACTCCCGTTGTGTTGCTAATCCATGGATTGAATTCTGCTAAAAAATGATTTATTTTATTAAGTTTTTTTATTTAAGATAAAAAGATGTTTATTGTAAAAAATAAAATTTCTCACGAAACATGACATATTATGATAAAATTACCTATTTTAAATACATTTTTTCAATCACACAAATTTTTGTCCATCGACTATTGCATGAAAGTGACCAAGCTATTCACCGTTATTCCTCGTTTATTCCTCGCATGGTACAATCATCGCACTAAAGTATTATATACATATCACACTAACGCATCGTGTACATCATTCATATCATGTACGTAAACAGGAATAATTGTCCAAACAAAATACACTTTGGCGTTGTTTAGATCCCCTGCCAAAATTTACACCCTGTCGCATCGAATGTTTGATACATGCATTAAATATAGATGAAAAAAAATAACTAATTACACATATTGCGTGTTGTCGACGGGTGATACCCGTAGACCGGATATAGAGGGTATTGAGGTACGTTGGTACAAGGATCTACGTAATACGACATCAAGCAAATAGAAGACGAAGATTATACTGGTTCAGGCCCCTTGATAGGTAATAGTCCTAATCCAGTTAATGTGGGATTATATGATGGAAATCACAGGTTACAAAGGGAACGATGGAACTCGATGAAACCGGCGAGATCGTAACCGAGTTGGTTCGACTAGATCTCCTGGCGACTTGGCTCCTGCAAGCTCCGACTTCGTAGGCTGTGGTGGTTGTGTTGGCTATGAGATTCGATGCCCTCGGTCCTCCCAGGGGGTTCCTTTTATATCGCAGGTCAGGCGGTTTCCAAGTAGAACTCGGAGACATCGGACCCTACACGATACATTGACGACCCAGTCCTGTCCGAGTAGGACTCTTATTCTCTGCAAACTTCGTAAAGGATTTCCTTAGTGTATGTAGAGAATGTCCATATATGCGCGGGCATGCCATATCGATATGTAACATATATCGAAGGGTAAAGGGTATACCTAACCCGTAACCCTGACAGTAGCCCCCGACTTCGGCTTAAATGAACTCGTGTAACCAATCGCGACTTCTGATGTCGAGGCTGATGTCGTTTTCGGTGTGGGAACCATAGAGACAGGACATAGTCGAGAACACCATGTGAAGCCCAATGGTTATGTGTGAGTTTAAACTGAAGTCTGAAAGACTACCGCGCGTAACGGACCCAGAAATTTCCGGCGGCCATCTCTCTCCTTTCCTTGAAATTCGCACCGTCGGAAGTGTGCCTATTTAAGAGAGTTTTGGGGATTTATTTTGAAGTCCGCCTGTTGTGGAAAAAACTTTCCAGCCTCCAAGCGCATCTCATCTTCTCCGCTCCCGCAAAAAAACCCTAGCTTGTTAATCTCCGTCCTTTCTCCAGCGATCTTTAGTCGGTAATGGATCTCGGCAAGTCTACCTCGACCAACGCGTCGCTAAAGAAGCTCCAGGAAGATGGCACCCTTCCTGGCCATGGAGCCATGGAGAGAGAAGTTGAAGGTACTAAACGCCGGCCTGTCCTGGGTCGCATGGTTGTGATCGAGGACTACATTCTGTGTGGTTTTCTCCCTCCACTTTCTGAATTTCTTCTCTTGATTTTGAACTTCTATGGCCTTTCTTTGCTCCATTTGAACCCCAATTCCATTGCCTTCTTAAGTATCTTTGCACACCTTTGTGAAGCCTATATTGGGGTATAGCCCTTTCTCAATCTTTTCCGCTTCTACTATGAATTGCGTTGGATGGAATCCAACAGAGTGTCTGGATGCGTTGGATTCCGACTTCGGGATGGTCTGAAGTCGCGTTATATCCCCTTCCAGTGCCCTTCTTCTCGTAGCAAATGGCGGGCAAGGTGGTTCTATCTTCAGATAGAGAATTCGGATCCTGTCTTTGTTGTTCCTAAGGAACAACCAGACAAGATTTCGTCTTGGACCGCAAAGCCTACCTTGACCCCCGCCCTTCGGTTCTTCGTCGAGGCCATCGATGACCTCCGAGTACGAGGTTTGTCGGGGTATGAAGTCGCTGCCAACTTCGTTGGTAGGCGAATCCAGCCGCTCCAGACTCGAGCTCATCCAGCCTTTGACTATTCTGGGCCGGAGGACACGACCCGGGTTTCTCCTCGGGGTATTTTTCTTGTGTTTGATTTGACCTCCTTATAGGCATGCTCCTCCTGGCTTACCGAATTCCGGTTCTTGACTTGCAGGCTTGAACAGCGAAACGGTGGAGCGCTGCGTCGGCCAACTGATGATCAACGGCCCGACAACGGCAAGCGACATCCCCGTCCCCCTTTGTGAGAAGGAGGCGGCCGATCGTGAAACCGCAATCAATGTGAGTGTATTCGGCGACCCCTCTATTCTTGCTCCTGGATCGGATAACGACTTCATGCGGTGCAGGTTCTCCCTCTGACTGACGTCATCGGACCGCTCGTGGATCACCAGGCGGCGGCCTCGCTGAAAGAGTGTGTCGCGCATGGGGCATCCAACGCGGCCGCTGCTGCTGCCACAGCGACTAGCGGGAGCTGCCCCCCAAGGAGGGGAAGGAAGTTCACCTCCGTACTTGGCAGTCGCCGGAAGGCGTCCTCCCCCCGGTAAGTTTCTTGAGCCATTAACCTTGTAATCGGAAAAGTCGTTCCTCAAATCATCCTTGGTTTACTAAGGCCTCCGACGCGTCTCCGCCACCTCCACGACGGCAAAAGTTGGTGACGCTAGGCGAGAAGTAAGTAGGTGGAGATTGAGTTCTTTCCTTTGGTTGGAGATCTGGCGACTAGTCTTGATATTCGGATGCGATGATCTTTTGTAGGTGGGCGCGAGCGAAGGCGGCGCAGGATAGGTTTGGTGAGACCTCCAGCGTGTCTCCTGCAGCGGTCTCCACTGACGTCGTGGTCGCCCCACGAAGTCAGGAGGCGACACCCCACGGCCTGTCCGGTGATCTCGGGCCTGTTCGCGGCCCGCCTGCGGACGTCCTCAGCTGGGGGGAGCTCCAAGTCGAGATGGGGTGCCTCCTCGAAGCTAGCGCTCGCGGCATAAGTTGCGAGATTGCTGAGGCGAGGACAGCGGCGGCGTCGTCGGCTAACGAGCGCGCCGACAAGCTGGAGCGCAAACTGGCGGAAGTTCGCGAGGACCTCCAGAAGATGAGGGAGCTGGTGGCCGGCAACGAGCGACAGCGGCGGGGTCTTGAGGACCGCATGGCGGAACTCGAGAGTAACCTATCGGAGCTCCGTGGCTCGCTGCGAGTCACTTTCACCGGCCTACACCAGCTCGCCGGGCAATGTGGTGTCACGACCACGATCCCGGCGAACCCCGACGAGTTCTCGCTGACGTCTTCACTCGCAGAACTGGCTACGGCGATGGAGGCGATACCCTCCAAGCACGCGGCCTGGATCAGGAAGGAGACATCCAATGGGATCTATACCGGGGCATGTCATGTCCTCGCGTGCGTCAAGTTGGCACATCCGAAACTCGATCTCCAGCGGATCTTGGAGCAGGGGGCGACGAACGACGCGCGTAGAGGCGTGATGGAAGAAGTCAGCGATCTGGGAGAGTCTGTTCTCTCGCTCTTTGAAGAGTAGGACCTTAGTTCCCCTGTGTCTTTTCTCCAGTTACGCTTTGTAAAAACATTTCTCAACCTTTTTGCGTGTGCAGTCATCGCTTCAGTTTTCCCCAACATTTTTTATCCCGAGCACTTGTTGTCCTTTGTAGAGATGTCGATGTCGAGGATGTCCAGCAGTGTGGGCAGCCTGAGTCATCAGTGATCCTTCCGGATCTTGCATCTGAGGGACCCACGTCGCTGAACGATGTGGATGAAATTTTACCCGCGAGAATGGGGACGGCAACGACTTTCTTAGGTTGGTGGTCTCTTCATCCCGTTTCGCTCCTCCGACTTGATCAGCCGTGTTCTCGAGAGAGAAAAGCAGCTTGACTTAGTCGTTTCCATATTGAACAGATCTCGAGAATGCACTTGCTGACCAAGATCGTCGTATCCAATATTGGAAGACAAAATTTAAAGTGGCGGAACTCGAGAGAGCTATGTTGGAAGTGAAGAAGGAGCAGGCCGTGGAAACACTCCGAGGTCGTGAGGTGTGGTTCAACTCGTATTTGAAGAGTTGCTGCACGTCCATGGCCCGAGTTTGTAGAGAGCTCCG